CACTTCCTCAGATACCTGAAGGCACCAGAACGGAATAAGGGAGGGAACGGAGATGGGGAGTGTGTGCGTGGGGGGGAGGAGGGGGGGTGTTGCTGTTACTAGACATGTTCTGTATGTGTTTTCCAACCTGCCTGGGATGTTTCCGTTGGAGACAAGTCCCCTGCTGTGACCACGGGGGTTGCCCTCACTCTGTTTGCTTTGTTCTGTCTCATGTGATTTCTTCTGTCCTGTGTCGGTCTCGTGCTGTGTGTGTGCCTCAGTGTGTGCGTGGGGGGGAGGAGGGGGGGTGTTGCTGTTACTAGACATGTTCTGTATGTGTTTTCCAACCTGCCTGGGATGTTTCCGTTGGAGACAAGTCCCCTGCTGTGACCACGGGGGTTGCCCTCACTCTGTTTGCTTTGTTCTGTCTCATGTGATTTCTTCTGTCCTGTGTCGGTCTCGTGCTGTGTGTGTGCCTCAGTTTCCCTGGGCGCTGCACCTGTGCCCAGCTGGGGATGGGAGTGTTGGGTGAGACTCTGACAGAGGGGAGGCTGCCCCAGCCCAGCACCTGCCCAGTGTCACAGACTCTGTTGTCACCTGAGCCTAGGTGGGGGGTGCAACCAGGTGACACCTTTTGCCCAGGATGGATGGTTCTGTCTGTGCTACGCTGTGTCCCTGTGAACCAATAAACCTTCTGTTCTACCTGCTGCCTGAGGGGCACGTCTGGCTGCGGATGGGGGTGCAAGGCCTGGTGTCTCCCCCCGCCCCGCCCCCGTGACATCTGACATGGTCCCTCCTCTTGCTAGCGGAGGCAACCACCACATGGTGATGTCCGACAGCCCTGGGCCACAGAGTCCCAGGCACAGTGCCCTGGGCCCACTCTGAATGGAGCCAGGCAAAACGTGAGTGTGGGGGGGTGACCTCTCGTGGCTCCCTCTCCCCACGGCAGGGAATCAATGGGATCGGGACCCCTGAAGGAGCTTCACATTCCCCTCCCAGGGACCAGGCTCCCACCTCGGCAGCCCTGGGGTGACTCTGGGCCGGCTGGGAAAACAGAAGGTGGGGAGGAGAGTGGCCGGGAACACAGCACAGAACAGATCTTGTCAGCACTGAAATCAGGCCCATTCCGCCCCATCCTGCTTGGGGTCTCCCCCCCCAGCGCTGGGCTCCCCCTGCTGAGTCCCAAAACAGGAGCCTCACCCACTCCCAGCCTCAGTCACTGCCCCTCCCTCATGCTTTGTTTTCTTCCTGGGCAAACCGATCACTGGGCCTGAGGCCTCCCCAATAACTTTTTTCCCCAACCCCTTGGGCGGGCTCCTTGCAGACGGTGGGCTCAGGGCTTCACTTGCCGGGGTGCCGCCTGTTGGCCATTCTGTTGCCCCGGCAGCGGATCTATGGTCCCACCCACGCTCTGGGGAGTTCCCACAGTAATGTCACTCCCGGAGCCCAGCCCCTCGGTATGTGAGTCACCCCTAGGGAAACTGAGGCACACACCGTGTTCAGAGAAAGATATATCTCTGAGACCAGACCCGGGAGCACTTTGTGCAGTGGCTCTAACCAGCCCCAGGCTCTGCCAGCATCTGCTTGCGTGAGGGAGGGGGCATTGCAGGGGTGAAATGACATTGGGGGGCAACAGCTCCTATGCTTTTTTCCCAGCACGGGGCTCAGAGATGCTGCTGGGAGGGGGCGTTCAAAGGGGCTCGTGGGGTTTGTTCTGGGGGGGGGGGCCGAGCTGGGGGG